CCATTCAAGATATTAACAATGATAAAGTTCCTGATACTCTTCAAAGTCTATTAGCTGATGAAAAATTCTTCCGACCATTACATTCCTTTATTTCTGGTGTTCAAGATATATAAAAATGAAAACGTCATATTAATCAATAGTGTAAACGTGAATAAGCACTTTGTGATTTGTGAATCAGTGTAAAAGTGAATTTTGATGAATGTTTCGTACGTGACATATCTAATTTTTAAAAATAATAATAATTATATATTGTAACTTCAGGCTCAGAAGGGCTAGAACCCAGAGCCGTAAAGCCAGTTAATAGAATATATCTTAATATCTTAATATATATAAATTACGTGTCACGTTGTTTGTTCGCGATGGACTCCTAAACTACTTTAATCAAATTAACCGATTTTAATCAAATTTGCACACCGTGTGCAGTTTGGTCCAACTTGAGAGATAGGATAGTTTTTTTTGCCCATGAGTGACCCAAATTTTTTTGCGAGTTTAAGGATTTTTAATAGGACATGCCAAAGGGTCGTCGAAAAGGGCAGAACAACGTCTGCCTGGCAAGCTAGTAATATATATAAATTACTTGTCACGTTGTTTGTCCGCGATGGACTCCTAAATTACTGAACCGATTTTGATCAAATTTGCACACCGTGTGCAGTTTGGCCCAACTTGAGAGATAGGAAAGTTTTTTGCCTATGAACCCACAATTTTTTTTTTGCGAATTTAAGGATTTTTAATAGGACATGACAAATTGCCGTCGAAGAGGGCAGAACAACGTCTGCCTGATAAGCTAGTATGTATATATTTATCTATGGTTAATGGTTATTTCGGGTTATTTAACGAAGGAAAAGGAAATGATTATTGGATCATAGATAAGAGTGTATATACGGAAATAGATAAGAATCTCTAACGTATACATTTGCCGCGACAGTAGTGCTGTCTGTAAGCGGCTTTATTAACTACTACCACTGTTTGTTACTTAAAAATCGGCATAAATGCTCTCGATAAATTGTAGGACTTAGGCAAAAAGAAAGATTTTCTGTATTGTTAACATATTTATTTCACAACTTTAAACTAGATGATATTTTGAAAATAAAATAACACCAAAACGTGAGATGTTATAAAATTCCATGTTGTCTGCACATAACGTAGAAAGTAACTTACTACAAACCATCATAAAATTACAGGGTTTAAATTAAACATAATACATACATAAACACTCACGCCTGTCACCCAGAGGGGTAGGCAGAGACTACAGACTTCCATTTGGCACGATCCTGACACACCTCTCTCGCCTCCTTCACATCCATACACCTCCGCATACATGCTCGTCGGTTAAGGGTACTCCTAATTTGGCCCGTTTTCAATAAATCGCCAATTTGGTCGATAAATTTTCGCCTAGGACGTCCCTTTCCGACTCTGCCATTCACTTCTGCAACATAAATTTTCTTTGTCACTCTTTCCTCATTCATTCTTTCCACATGACCAAACCACCGAAGCATTCCTTTCTTAATCCTGGTCACAACATCATCTTGCAAACCACACTCTTCTCTTATTACACAATTTCTTACCCTGTCATTAAGATTCAGCCCTAACATACTCCTTAACGACCGCATTTCTACTGCGTTCATTCTACTCTCGTGCTTCTTCTGCCACACCCAACTTTCACTACCATATGTTAAAGTAGGGACCAACACAGCATTGTGAATTGCCATACGTGCCTTTTTCGACACATTTTGACTCTTCACAATAGAGTGCAGGGCCCCATTTACTCTATTTCCCGCATTCACTCGTCGTTCTATATCCTTATCATATCTCCCATCCCTGCTAAATACGCAGCCCAAATATACAAACTCGTCTACTTGCTCGATCAACTCCCCTTCTATTCTTATTTCACAAATCGTTTTACTTTCTTCTCTTTCAAAAAAAAATTTTATGTAATATATAATAAAAGACATAAAATATTTTATGTCTTTTATTATATTTGTCACTGCACCAATTACAAAATCTACCTTAAAGCACATTCTTGAGCCCTCTGTTTTGTGCTATACACAAGCAAAGCAATTACGATAAAACACTCCGAAATTCGAAATAACAAGACATAAGCACATGTACAATCCGGCGGACATATTTCTTAAATAATTTTTCATTTTTCAATTTGATTCAATGCTGCCTAATGAAACAAATTTTAAGCTTCTATTTTTTACTATTACTCCTTATAATATAAGTATGTAGTAGCATGTATGTAGCAAATATTAACTGTAAACTGTAACTTGAATTTAGAACTATGAATGGATTTTTTATTATTTATTATTTTGGAAGACAAAATTAAAAGTGTAGGGCGAGCCCCCACTAGATGGAGTGACGACCTGGTAAGACATGCAGGAAGTCGATGTATGCAGGAGGCTCAGGACCGTGCTTTGTGGCATACCTTGGGGAAGACTTGTGAAGGACCGTAATGATGATGATGATGATATTTTTAATGTAGTTAATAAATACAATAACATATAACAATAACTTGCTTAATAGAAAATGATTTTCTTTTTATTATTTCCTATATACCTATCATTAGAATTATTATTAATAATGCTTAATTTTTTGCGGCGGCCACACTATTTTGATTGATTTACATAAAGTAGCTAAAAATGCAAGATTCCAGAGCAGCTATAAATTAAAAAGTATTAAGTGTTTCATAAGGCGAATGCTACACGCGTTATATTTATCACGATCCTTGGATCGCAATCCAGGATCGTGATAAATATCGCGCGTGTAGTGTTTCTGCGATATGGATCGCGTCAGTCTGCTCTGGAGAAGCGATGGAAGAGGACGACTTTTGTAGTGATGCGGGCGAAATCGCAAACGAAAGCGAGAATCCTGTTTCGACGGGACCATCTACAATCCATCAAAAATATTTACAGGCTTTTATATTATGTTTGGAAACAACTCCCATATAATGCGACCCATCGTATGATTCTTTTAAAAACAATTGTAAGCGCATGAAGGCACTGCAAAAGTTACTGCCAATTTATAAAAAATAAATAAAAAATGACTCTTCAATGGAAGATGTTGGAAAAATATCGTAAAAATCGACACTCTCCTTTATAATATTATTGCCGTAATGATAACCACACAAGCTTTAAGCAAGCGTTTATATGTGGTAGAGCCATGCTGCAGTTATATTAGTAGTATAGTTGTAGCACGAATGGGTCGGCTCGACCGGGGAAGGACCACGCTCTCACAGAATACCAGCGTTAAATTGTAGCTTAATGATGCTGTGTTTCGTATGGTGAGTGTAGAAAACCGGAGACCCTTTTTACTGAAAACGAGGCATTTTATCTTAGTCCTTACGGGTGACAACGCATCTGCATTCCGATTCGTAATCAAGGATATATGTAGATGTCTATGGATCACAGCATCTACTTACTATCAGCTGCTCATTTGTCACATTTATTATAACTCGGCTTTGCAAGGCTCGTTTGTCACTCTATACTATAAAAAAAGCTTTTTCTACATTTCGGGCCATTTTAGATATGTCTGCACTTAACAGTTTTGTGCGCAATACTGAAGTGATCCGCATTGAACGTGTATGGTGTGTCGATATGGATCGCGATATGTCATTCTAGATCGCGTTCCAGATCATGATAAATATCACGCGTGTGCCGTTCGCTTAAAGCAATGACTAGAAGGCGGTTGTTTAACCAACAATTAAATTTCTTAGAAGATACAATTTCTCTGTCTACGATACAATAGCACGTTATTGGATTATATGTAGTTTTTGAAATTTTATTATAAATCATATGTAGATAAATAAATAAACAGTCATGCACAAATTATAAAGTTATAAGTTAAAATTTCCAATATAGACCCTCAGACGAAATAAAAACTCAAGACAGAGGCAGATCCCCGCCGAACAACGCACTGAGGCCGGTAAAACTACGCCTCGCCTTGTACATACACAGTTTCATGCACACACATATAACGAAACTACGCCTTACGTTATCATTCGAGCTATTCCAGCGCACGGAGTGTCACGCTATAATAATTCGCAGTTTTTAAAGAAAAAATGCCGAATTGTGTTGTAAAAGGGTGTAAAAACCAATCTTTCGGAAACAAAAAACAGGATGGAATCACATTTCATACGTAAGTAAACATAAAAATCCAAATTTTTAATAAAGCATTTTTATTATTTATTATGACAGCTTGGAACATAACACTTCCAAAAGTGTTGCCACTAGTAAGCGTCATAGTAGTCCCCATTTATTCAGTACGTTATTAATGTGACGCGAAACTTAATGTAACGCGTTCATTTACCTATTTTTATTTTACTTTTAATATTCATAAAATTAGTGTAAGTGAAAATAGGCATTTTTTCCATGTTTTATCATCACTTCAAAAATCTATACTTTTAAGGTTCCACATCCGAAGTAAAGACATTAAAGGGAAGTTGATATAAGTGATTCGAGTTACCCGGAATGAGCCATCGTGGAATCCAACGGTGCGCAGCGTAGTTTCTTCGACACATTTTGAAGATGACGAATTCTATTACACAAATAAAGGACTTCGTCGTGTCGTACGAAACATATATCAAAAGATTATTTCCAATGTTTCTATAATGTTATATTTAGTATTATATAATAATAAATTTAAAAATGTCGTTTCTGATATTATATGAGATATTTGACTTCCATTTCCAAAATTAACGAAATGTACTCGATACCAAGTAGTATTGATACTTTTGATGCGATACTTGGTATCGAGTAGGTATTGATACTTTCAAAATTTTCTGAACCTACACTAATTGACGTTTGACATCAATCATTTGTCAAATTTATTTGCGTGTTACTTGCCAATTTGTATGAAATTGAAAAGTTTAAAAAAATATATCTCATGAACCGTAAGTTTCCGCAACCTAAAACTTTGCGAAACGCTTTCTTTTAGTGAGTACTATCTACAAAAAATATGGGCTTTGAAATCGATGGTCCATATTGGAAATATTAGCCTCGATAATGTCTAAAACACCAACAAAAACTCCGGAGTCTTGTCAACAATTTTATCCTAAAGGTTTTTTTATTTTCAATAATGTCCAACACATATTTTAATGTTTATTATTAATTTCACTTTTTGTTAAACAATTTTCAGATTTGTTGTCCCCCAATAAAGATTCAACAGGATTGGCAAAAACTATTTTTACCCATATAACTAACATACATAGTTTCTTAAATAAATGGATCAAAGTATGTGAAAAGGGCACTAAAATTGTTAAGTCAATATCTGCACTTAGATTATATGAGTATAATTCTGATTTTTATCCCCATCAATTAACCACCCTTACACAAGATCTTTTAGAAGCTTCAAGTGCTTTAAGAGATGTAGTAGAAGGTAAGATAAATAAAAAATATATTACTTTATATACTTTATAATGCAATTTTTACAGATTCAGCCAGTTAATTTGTAAGGGTGTACAAATCTCAGGCAACTCTGTGCTATGCTTTAGTTACATCAACTGTAAAACATATGAATATGTTATGAGATGGTAGTTTTGATTATCACAAGGCGTGATTCCAGTTTGTAGCTGTTTGTAGCTTGCATACTAAGCTAATGCTGAATAAGCAAACTAGTGACTGAAATATTGGATGGGGTAGATCTTAACTTGTGTCCTTAGGCTTCAGCCACCTTCATCATACAAAGCAATTTTTTTTTCTCCCCTAAGTTAATACAGCTCTAAATATCAGATATATTTAAATTTTAACAAATACAAATAAGTCTATAATTTGGATTGTTACCCTCACTTGTTGTCAGTACTAAAAAAAATTTGAGCACAATTAAACATTTGGGTTTGGTTGAAGGTTACAGCAAATGTCAAACTATATGATTTGACTTTTATCTTCGTTTGGACATTGCTTGAAACAGACATTCACATATTGGGCTCTACAGCCACAAACATTTTCACCTTGGATAGGATCAATTACTTATCATAGATGTGTATGTGTAGGCCTGTATATTATAAAACATTTAACTGCAATTCCTCTGATGTTGCAGTTCTTCATAGGTGGCGCTAGTTACTTGAGGTTTTAGTTTAGTTTACGACGGGCTGTTTTCCGCAACTTCACGTCTAAGTGCGTATTTTGTGTGTGGGCAGGAATAATATGCTTATTCGAGCCATGATATCTCCCCGTAGAAGCTCAGCAGTCCCTTGATGTTGCAAGCAACTTCAGGGAGCGATCCCGGTGTGCCGAGATATTTAGCCCTGTATGAAGCGACTTCTGGACATGTCAGCAATATGTGAGCTGCCGTTACTTCCCCTCCCATGCATGTTCTGCACAGGGGGCTGTCAGTAACACCTATGGTGAACAAATGTTTGGTAAAAGAGCCATGTCCTGTGATAGCACTTGTTACTATCCTGATCCTCGGCTTGTTCAGTCTCATTAGAACCTTGGTTAGACGACTGTTTATTTCAGGTAGGGCCTCCCTAGCTTGTCTACAGTCTACTAAATTTTTCCAAAGCTGAGTGTGTAAATTATTGAAGTATCTACATACCAGTGAACGAACGTAGCCAAAGGGGATTGGTATTATTAGTTCCAGCTCTATAGTTGCTAGGGCTGATCCCCTTCTGGCCAGTTCATCTGCTGCATCATTGCCTCTGGATCCACTGTCCCTTGATCCATTGCAGAGTCACATTGTTGTGCTTACATACCTCATTCAATCGTTGATGGCACTCGTGTATCAGCCCCGAGTTCGTCACATTGCAACTCAGAGCTTGTAGTACCGCCATACTGTCGGTCAGTATTCTGATGGAGAAGTCTTTCACCTTTCTAGCATCTATTGCTATGGCCGCTTGGATGATACCCATGCATTCAGCCTAGAAGACTGTGTTGTGAGTACCCAGCGGTGTGCATATGTGGATATTAAGGTCTTCAGAGAAAGCCTCAGACCCCACACCTTCATTTGTCTTAGAGCCATCCATGAAAACTTTGAGCTCTCTTGGACCAAATCCTTCCAGATAGTTTCCTTCAATTGTATCCTGTACTTCTTATCAAATACCAATTGTTTTGGGATCCTATCATACTTGGCTTGTAAGATAGGAATTTTTGAGTAAATTCTATCGATTATATTTGTATGGGGGACTCTACTCTTACTTAAAAGATTTAGGTCTTGAGTCTAATGGTAGTTAAAGTTGCTTTTTGTTGTATATGTAGATGAAGCGGTGTTAGCTCCAGCATAGAATATTTTTATTAATATTAACAAATACAAAAAAGTCTATAATTTGGATTGTTACCCTTACTTGTTGTCAGTACTAAAAAAGTTTGAGCACAATTAAACATTTGGGTTTGGTTGAAGGTTACAGCAAATGTTAAACAATATGATTTGACTTTTATCTTCATTTGGACATTGCTTGAAACAGACATTCACATATTGGGCTCTACAGCCACAAACATTTTTACCTTGGATAGGATTAATCACTTATCATAGATGTGTATGTAGGCCTGTATATTATAAAACATTTAACTGCAATTCCTCTGATGTTGCAGTTGTTCATAGGTGGCGCTAGTTACTTGAGGTGAACATGCCATCAGGTGAACATGCTTGTTTGCCCCTCTTCTATAAAAAATATGAAATAACTTAGATAAAGGTCCTAAAAATATCCTAAAATTTTAATATTTACTATGGTAGGTATGGATATGAGTTTTTGCATATCCAACTGTTTTAAATAAGATTTCAAGCAAGTTGATTCATAGACTCCTATATCTTTCCTCTGTTGTGAATCAAAAATGCATTGTCACCCCTTAGAGCTAATAAATGCTTTTACCAGTGCAAGGGTCTCTGGTCCTCATCATTATAATGCTATTTCATTCTGGTATTCTGTGCCAGTGTGTTAGTTGAGCAGACATAAATTGCTGCAGTGTGGCTCTACCATGTAAAACCTATATAGTTATAGATATTGCAATAATAATACAGGTAATAAATGTTCTTCTATGGTTTTTCTTCATTATAAGTTAAAAGAAATGATATCCCATAATTGCCCCACTTGTCAGGTGGATAAGCAATTCTAGCACCACACTTTTCGCCACTAAGGCACTGCTTTTCCTACCTCTGGTCTGGGCATTTTACATCACACATCTTCCGTCAGAAGCTGTGGTGTAATACTAGCATTTCTTATTCACCTATTATGGTGTTGTCCATAGGGACAAGATGAGGTAATAAGGTAACCTTTACAGTAACTTGTTTTTGTAGAAGGAAAAGGGAAGACCTCCCGCTGGGCGACATAATCGGCACGGGAAGCGGCCAATGCTCCATGTGATATTCTGGAGCTGTTTTATGTATAGTGCGGTAGCTTCGGAATTGATAGAGCGATTTAGGCTTCAGTGCGTTTCGCTTGCGGCATGACTACACCGTCACCACAGACTTGTCATTGAGTAGAGACTGCACATAGGGAAACATAATGTGAGAAATCTCCTGGCTAGATGACAACAACTGACGCATAAAGCCAAAGATCAAACCAAGTTTGGCACTTGAGCTTTATTTTATATATATTGTGGATATTCAACAGCATAGCCACAAAAGCATATATAATTATTTATATATGCTGTTGTGGATATGCTGTTGAATGCTGATGATGATGATATTACAATACATGAAGTATCCATAGTATACAAAATAATAATAATGGAAATTTTTCTAATGTGCTGATTGACAGGCGTACAGATATTAAATGATCAATTGCAAGTTCTGGCCAAATTACAACCAACAGATTTGCCTATTATAAACACTTGGTCAGCATCTCATATATCAAGCCAAGTTTCTACATTATATTTATCAATGGAAAAAGAATATAGACTGAAAAAAGTGATAACAGGTAGGTAAATAAATCACATAATGTAAAGTACATTTTTTTAATATAAGCTACTACTTGACAAGTATACTACCTGATGGTAAGTAAATCGCATTGACTTAGCTTGACACTTGCTGCTTAACCATTATAATCAGATGGAAAGACAGATGCTGGCAAATTATTCGATTCCTTTGCTATTCCATTCTATTTCCTTTATTAATATTTATTATTTGCTCTGCACATAATAAATGACGACGCAAATCATTTGGTTTGAATACATGGTATGTCGACAACAAACGTGTGGAGACCAGCTAAGCAACTGTTGGTCTGACCATGGAATGAAGAGGGAAATATTAAATCATGCAATACTTTACACACACACACACGAAATGTATCCTGTATAAAACGAAAGGCTCATATAGTCACCAATAAGTATCTTAGCACGTCTTTCCATTGAGTCCATTAAGCTTTGCTAGGTGGCATTTTGCAGCATCAACCCATGTATGACAGCAATACTCCATGCACGACCGGGCTTACGCTTTATATAATGTAAGCAATGGTCTCGGTGTAAAGTATTGCCACACTTTTACAAGGACACCTAACTTCTTTGCAGCTGCTTTGCGCATGGACTTAATGAACTCCCACAGTTCAGGTTCAAAGAAATCTCAACCCCCAGCAATTGAAAGTGGTCAGTGAATTCAAACAAATGGGTCGTTTGAATTCAGCGACCGCCTTCAATTGCTGGGGGTTGAGATTTCTTTGAACCTGAACTTTCTTTTTCGAAAGAAGAAGAAGTTCAGAGACGCGCATGTTTTAGAGGCGTTGAGTCTCATGAGACTGACATCGCCCCATTCGTAGACTGCCTGTAGCGAGAGCCACAGGAGACTCAACCATAGGAGCTCTATCGGACTGGCTTTGATCGCGACTGGTCCGAGCACTCTAAGCCTAAAATGCTTGTGCTAGGAGTGGTCTGGTTTACGCCCTCTCCCTCAAATGGGTTGCCGTCTTGTAGTTTTGGGAGTTTAGTAGGTGCTACAAACTCGTCCTGCCCTCGCGAGGTGGGTATATGTTGCCATTTCCGAATGAAAAAAAGGAGTAGCTCACGACAGTGAATGACGGAACCAACAACTTTAAAGTTTTAATGTCCGTGTCCTTAATCATTAAGTTGCGTTATCGTAGCTTAAAATATAATAATCGCTCACTGTGAACATTGCCTTTGGGTGTTTGGTTCATAACATATTATTCGATATATACTTCTTACATCATCTATGATTATTGATTATCTCAAATACAGCATTCTTATCACCTCCATCACACCACATTTTTTTGTGAAATTAATCAAAGTCCAAGCCAAATTTCACAATACTCGAGCAACCTAGGTTCGACCCCCACCAGCACCAAGAAAATTGTTAATTGCAATTTTGAGTGCTGATTTACCAAGTGTTCAGCGGTGAAGCAAAACATAGTGAGGCATGCATGTCTGAGAAAAAATATTTCGAAGCATGTGAAGTCCGCCAACATGACGGACATTACCTTGCCTGCCCAGGACTGCGCCCAGCTGCGGAACCTATAAATAGTGAGGCTCTATGCCTATATATATATATATCCATGCCCATCTTGTACAGAGTTACTTTAGACAGTTTGTACCTAAACTTCCAGTGACACCCTAACATAAAATTATGAAAGAATTATTTCAAATTATGTAATTTGCAAATTTAACTGAGTGCCTTTAAGAGTAAATAATGTCAAGATAAAATTTACTATTTTTACCATATTTTTACAGTAACAGTAGTGTAGTTTATTTATTTAACTTTTAAGTTTATCATGTATGAAAATTGGACCTGCAAGTAAAATATCATGTATATATCTCATCTACATGCGCTGTGCATGCTCGCTAAAAACCGGCTAATGGCGGAAAATTAAACCTAAATTTCACAAATTGAAAAAGCGGAAGGGCATTACCATCTGCGCTTAGCAATCTGCCCAGTGTGAGTGAGGGGAAAATCTCTTAAGTAATAAAAGCCAGCTGCCACGTTTATAAAAAGGCCTATATCCGTCCGGCTATAGACTTTAAAAAATCTTACTACGACGAAGTGTATTCAAATACTAGTATATAATAATATTATTATCTGTTTCAGAAAATATTGCACATTGTAGAGATGAAAATTTAATAGAAGTGTATGCCAGTGCATGGGAGTTTAGTGTATATTTAAATATGGAATCAAATTCATATTTGTTTGCAGAAGTTGGTTTAAGTGGAATAATATAGTAAGAATTAAGAAAAAAAACCTTTCATTTTAGTACCTAATTAATCCCAATCATTATCCCCATTAAAATGAAGCTTAAACATTAAATTTTGTGACATTGTAACATTGTTGATGATCGTGCTTTCCTCTTGTCTTCAAACTATGCAAATAGGTACAAACTATTTCTTTTAGCACACGGATCTTACCTAAAAATTACCTAAAGATATCATTTAAATTTAAAAGAATAGATCTTACCAAGGCACAGCTGCGGCGGGACGCAATATTTATTACATTATCTTTTGATAGGAAGGTGTAATCGTAGTTAGAACAGTTAGGATCCGATTTAGTCAAATTGGAGGTCCCAATCGCTCTACTTCCTAAATTGTTTACAATTTAGGACAGTGTAATCGCAACGTTACGATTTAGAACAACCAGCCGGCGCGCGCGCTTTGATACAAGCGGATGTCTTGAAGTTTTGATAGAGGTCTGATATCAGAGAGCAGTACTTTAAATCTTAATATTAATTTCCGGTGGCTATAAAACGTAATATCACCATCAAACATTCTTTGGTACTCACACTTTATCAAAATATCGTGACTTCTTTTTCAATATGTTTGGATACCAAACTTAACAAATATTCAAACTGTTTATAGGTGGTAAAGCCATGCTGCAGTTATATTAGTGGTATAGTTGTAGCACGAATGGGTCGGCTCGACCGAGGAAGCACCACGCTCCCACAGAATACCAGCGTAAAATAGTAGCTTAATGTTGCTGTGTTTCGTATGGCGAGTGTAGAGAACCGGAGACCCTTTTTACTGGAAACGAGGCATTCCATCTTAGTCGTCACAGGTGACAACGCATCTGCATTTTGATTTGTAATCGGAGATAGATGTAGATGTCCATGAGCTGCAGCAACCACTTATCATCAGGTGGACTGTGTGCTAGTTTGTCACACTATCCAATAAAAGAACTGCTTAGAATCTAAAAATATATAATTATATTCATATTGGACAGTTTTTTCTCAATGACAAGTACTCTTTTCTCTTTTTTTTAATATCCATTGTCCCCACCACGGCTAAGGCAAGTCCTATTTTCTGCTGTTTTGGTAAATACGGCGCCATCGATCAAACGTGCAACCCCGTCGATACTTCGTTACGAATGCGGTTCGTCACGATTTAGAATTCAATTTAGTGTAGTGTGATCACTAGCTTCCAATTTAGGTTCCTAATTAGATTTCCTAAAAATTGTATAGTGTAATAAGCGCTTTAGCAAAGGAACACCCGATTCTGTTAATTATTATTATTACCGATTTAACAAGACAACATCAACAATTTTATAATTCTGTTGCAAGTTCAGGCCGGGGATGTAAATCGTCAAAGGTCCGAGTCTCTGAGGGATGCAAAAAGGCCAGTGTAAAAGTGGTCTGTTTAAGGACTGGCCTTTATATAAAATAATGAAACCGTAAATGAGGATGTTAGAATGCAAAACAATTTTTTTTTAGAATTTAAGTTCGTTTTTCTGTTTATATATATGTCATAGGATAATTAGATTAATTGAATTTTCCGCAAAAATCTAGGGATATCGTGAAAACACGAATAATTAGACAATTTGTCGAATCTGTTCAAAAACCAAATCAGCACGCCTCTATCTCACTTAGTCTTGTCTGCCCTACCCCTATGAGATTATAGAGTGCTTTTGTGAAGCCGTAGGCGCGGAGAGAGAGTAACCCCCGCCCGCCGTAGCAAATTGCAGGCAACCGTAAGCATGGGTGCCTGCGATTTGCTACGCAAGGGCGAAGGAGCTGCACTTCCTGCAGCGCCGAAACTGTTACGGAAGTAACTTTGGGTCAATATTCCTATGTAAAAAGTAGGGTTATGATTTTATAAAGAAAATTATTACTCATAAACTATACGCTTATAAACCAAAATCAAGCCCATCAGAGTTAAACATACTCAAAGTCGCAAAACCTTTAATCTTTTTTCAGTAAGATTGAGAAATGTCATACGTGTTTTCGCGATATCCCTAGATTTTTTCGCGGAAAATTCGGTTTATCTAACTATCCTACGACATATGCGTAACACGGTACGTGAAAACAACGAAACCGAATTTTGGACTAACATACAGTTCACCTGGTAAGTGGATGCTGTGACTTTTGTGTGTATCATCTACACAACATCTACATCTATTTTGGATTAAAAACCAAAGGCAGATGCATTACCATCCTTGAGTAATAAGATGAAATGTTTTCTACACTCATCATACGAAACACGGCAGTATTAAGGTGCTATTTAACGTTGGCATCCTGTGAGACCTTAGTCCTTCCCTGTCTCCGGTCGAGCCCACCCATTCGCACTAATATTATAAGTTAAAGGCCACGTTTATAGGTATCCTTGTAGTGGCGGTGTAAAAATATTCACTACCCCATATCGTCCCGTGGGTGTCGTAAGAGGCGACAGAGCGAACAAACTGAAACAGGAGATGGGCAGTAGCATTTTCCCAATAACAACTCAAAGTAATAAAAAATACTGCGTTTGCCAATTAGCCTGCCAAGCGTGGTAACTATGGCAAAATCCCCTCTATGAGGCAATCTATGGGGGAGGCCTATGTTCAGTAGTGGACTGTAAATAGGCTGTGATGGATGAGGTATGTTAAAACATTTAGTGCTGCGATCGCCGTTCAGCCAGTCCCTCTGATATGACTCAGTTCTCTTTTAAATGAGTTCATGTGAGGTTGACGGGCTAAAAATACTTCAAAATCATCAATCAGCGAATCAAGGATAAGGAAGAAGAGAATGATTTTTATTCTTCATTAAGATTGAACATGTAGGTCCCATTACGAATCAAAGTTCCATGTTGGCAGATTTACATACTCGTAGACTATATGTGTTCTGATAAACTGCGTGGGGCTTCCAGAACAGTGGGCAGAACCCGTGGATAATTTGTATACTTACGCCTGATTTCACATGCTTAGAGTGCGCAATACACAGAGTATTTAAGGGTAATTATTTCATTTGATGTAAATTGGGCAGATTGGAAAAAAATAAAATACAAATGTATTTTTAACCGCAAAATGAGTTTAAATTGAAAGTTTCTAATGTGTGAATTATTAAAAAAAATGAAGGCCCTCTCCTAGGGCCTCAATTAGTAGAGATATGGGCCCCTGAAGTTTTAGGAGTCACGGTGATGACATTATGTGGGTACGGTAGTGACGATTGTTCACGGTAATGACACTTCGTGCACATGGTAATGACGTTTGAAGACGGCAATAATAAATGATACTTCGTACTGTTCTTTTCCCCTTGAAACATATACTAAAAATTTAAAATAAAACAGATTGTTAAAGAAATAAATGTTTATTAAAAACTTCTTTGGTAAAGATATAATCTCACAAAAAACTTTCTCAGTTCTGTCATAATTATAACGTAAACTAGATACATTTATTACCTTTTATCATATACGTACAAAAATGGAAAATAAAACTTAAACTTCTATTCAACTTTTATATGTTTACTGAGATCAACTATTATTTTAGTGTAATTGGTCCTTGACTAGGTGCAAATAAAAACAAATGATATATTAATAATTTTTCATAGGTTAGTTATTGAGATCAATTAACTTTTCAGAGAACAATAATATACTAAATTATAATTTATAATATAATAGCTTAATTAAAAATGACAACTAAAAATATATGTGAAATTATCAAAAACTAAGTAGACATTATTGTAACTATTTACTCGAAATGTAAAAAAATAATCAAAATTAGCAAACATTTAGGTATTTTAATATTTTTACTCAGGTAGTAAATTTCGACATCATCAAATATAAGCTGACCTCTGCGATTTATATTGGGTTCTTTTAATACTTTAACAATAACATTTTTAGTGACACAGTCTTCATCATCTTTGTTCGGCCAAGAAAAAACATTTACGGTGTTTTTTTATCCTTCTGAGAGATTTTACTGTAAAAGTGTTGTCATCATGATTAATATTTATCACTTGTCCAATAAAATACTTTATAGCAGTATTCTTCTTTAACTGACATTGGTACGATGTAACAACCCACGAGCCTATTTGTATATTCTCATATGGATCCTTTAGCTTTGCCTTTTCTAATCCTGTTATATTGGAAGATGCTTCGTCAAATTCACTACCTAACGGGTCAACGCTTGACACATTCGTTGAATCGAAGATAGCTTCATTATCTGCTGTAGAAGCACCCGGCAAAGCGATTAATGTTTCGGCATAAGTTGGAGCAGCCTCAAATGGGGTTGACGTCTCAAACATCACAATTTCGGATGGTTCTAGCGTAATATCTAAATCTTAATATCATTAACTGCCGACGTTTCTATAATCATGCTAACATCTTGAGACGAACAGAACGTTTGTTCTTCAAATTTCGCAGTTTTGATGTCTTGTAACTCTCTTGGTAACTCTGCGTTCGTACGAACTAAAAATGCTTCCGATCTTTGAATTTTAGCAACTTCAAGTGACGAGCACAACGCCCGTTCTCCTTCATCTTCCTCATCACTTTTTTGATTTTGAAGCAAATGCTCTTCAAACTGGTTTTGGAAATTATTGCAAGATCTTTCTTCACGACTTGGCACGAGTACAACATTGGAAACAATCACAAGTTCTTTAGAAGAGTTTGGCTGATTCGACTCTTCTGTGGGATCTTCAGAATCTGATTCAGGTTCGTATCTTTTTCTTGTAACATTTTAAGTAAATTTTTCTTTCTTCTTAAATTCTGTTGGTTTATCTTCCATTTTTTATCTGTGTCTGTCCTCTCTGTCCTCTGTTCCCTTGGCTTTAATTCTTTAATTGGTACAATTTTTTTAGTATCCTTTCTTTTAATATAGCGAGCTTTTTCTTTTTCCAAGTATTCTTTGTATAGCTCAGGGTTAGAATTTATTTTGTTGCGCCTTTTTTGTTCCGCTAATCGTTTTTTTCTCTTAACATTTCTTCTCTATTTACTGGCTTTTTACGTCGTGGCATGTCTATTTTTTTGTCTAGAACAAGCAAAATTGGCGTATATAATGCACAATGCTTATTTACATACCAATTACAATCGGTACTAGTCTAAAAAAACTGTTAATATTTACTTATGTATTATATGTAAGTCATTATCATGTTATCGTCGTCATTACCGTGGCTTAAAACAACCACGGTAATACATGTTAATGACAAACACGGTAATGACAAAATCAAATATTATTCGCATAACATTGCAGGGTTAATGTTCCGGAATATGTTCTGTTAGTAGTTACGTTGTACCAGTTCTGGCGCACTTGTAGAAAGGTTGTACCAGTTCTGGCGCACACAATCCTAAAAAAAAAAAAAAAAAAAAAAAAAAAAGTTTTGGCATGCTCTGATCACGAATCTGCGGTCCATTTTTGCGTAGGATGCACGGTTCCGGAGATGTGCAGATCAATTAACTCTTATCTAATTGATATCCGCTGCGGGCCTCAACCGTCATTAGCGCTCCATTGCCCTAATCTACTTATCTATTGTTGATTGACTACCGTCATTATCTATTATTCGTCCAGCGTGTGGGTCGGCTTATACTATTGTATTATACTCCTTTGTTCCTATCTACAACACTAATCTGAATCATCAATAAAACACATTACCTAATTTTGTTAAAATTTTTATTTATAAAATACAAAATCTTATTACTTATTACCTATAAAATAGGAGCGAAACATCTCATCCACTAACATACCGTTGTACAATGTGTTCTCTGTAAATATACTCGTAAAACTATGCATTGAACATCCCTGAAACTTATATAGCAAATACATTAAGCAATATTCGCCACAAACTGAAGTCCTATCAACATTCCAGTTCCATCTTTTAAACACATTACCTAATTTTGTTAAAATTTTTATTTATAAAATACAAAATCTTATTACTTATTATCTATAAAATAGGAGCGAAACATCTCATCCACTAACATATCGTTGTACAATGTGTTCTCTGTAAATATACTCGTAAAACTATGCATTGAACATCCCTGAAACTTATATAGCAAATACATTAAGCAATATTCGCCACAAACTGAAGTCCTATCAACATTCCAGTTCCATCTTTTAAACACATTACCTAATTTTGTTAAAATTTTTATTTATAAAATACAAAATCTTATTACTTATTACCTATAAAATAGGAGCAAAACATCTCATACACTAACATATCGTTGTACAATGTGTTCTCTGTAAATATACTCGTAAAACTATGCATTGAACATCCCTGAAACTTATATAGCAAATACATTAAGCAATATTCGCCACAAACTGAAGTCCTAGCAACATTCCAGTTCCATCTTTTACAATTTCGTACAGGTGCCCGTCCATATGAATCAAAATATTCACCGACGTCATTCGTATCGATATATAAAGCTACCCAATGTGACCCTGGTTTATCATCTGTACCCACATCTATTAGAGTACAGTTATTTACTAAGTAGTGTTTAGAAAGATTCAGTAAACACAAAATTTTACATTGTTCTTGTGATGAAGTGTGGGTTTTTTACAAGTGGTTATTACATGAAAATAAAATTTTAAATTAATCATAAATTTTATTTGATTTCCAAAAAAAAACATTAGACAAAATTGGTTCAACAGAAAAACAATTTTTAAAAATGTTGACGACGAATGATAGAATTTTTAATATTGAAGAATACAAATGTCCAAAATACATACAATGATTTGGTAAATGTCAAAAATTTAAACAAACGTTATGTGTGTAATAATCATATATTTGCAAAAAATAATCACAAAATTTTACATTGTTCTTGTGACGAAGTGTGGGTTTTTTTACAAGTGGTTATTGCTTGAAAATAAAATTTTAAATTAATCATAAATTTTGTTTGATTTCCAAAAAACATTAGACAAAATTGGTTCAACAGAAAAACAATTTTTAAAAATGTTGACGACGAAAGATAGAATTTTTAATATTGAAGAATACAAATGTCCAAAATACAATGATTTGGTAAATGTCATAAATTTAAACAAACGTTATGTGTGTAATAATCATATATTTGCAAAAAATAATCACAAAATTTTACATTGTTCTTGTGATGAAGTGTTGGGTTTCTTACAAGTGGTTATTGCTTGAAAATAAAATTTTAAATTAATCATAAATTTTGTTTGATTTCCAAAAAACATTAGACAAAATTGGTTCAACAGAAAAACAATTTTTAAAAATGTTGACGACGAATGATAGAATTTTTAATATTGAAGAATACAAATGTCCAAAATACAATGATTTGGTAAATGTCATAAATTTAAACAAACGTTATGTGTGTAATAATCATATATTTGCAAAAATAAACACAAAATTTTACATTGTTCTTGTGACAAAGTGTGGGTTTTTTTACAAGTTGTTTTTTATTTAAAATAAAATTTTAAATTAATCATAAATTTTGTAACTAATGTTTTTGGGAAATCAATCTTTACCAAATCATTGTATTTTGGACATTTGCATTCTTCAATTTTAAAAATTCTATCATTCGTCGTCAACATTTTTAAAAATTGTTTTTCTGTTGAACCAATTTTGTCTAATGTTTTTTGGAAATCAAACAAAATTTATGATTAATTTAATATTTTATTTTCAAGCAATAACCACTTGTAAAAAACCCACACTTCGTCACAAGAACAATGTAAAATTTTGTGATTATTTTTTGCAAATATATGATTATTACACACATAACGTTTGTTTAAATTTTTGACATTACCAAATCATTGTATTTTGGATATTTGTATTCTTCAATATTAAAAATTCTATCATTCGTCGTCAACATTTTTAAAAATTGTTTTTCTGTTGAACCAATTTTGTCTAATATTTTTTGGAAATCAAACAAAATTTATGATTAATATAAAATTTTATTTTCAAGTAATAACCACTTGTAAAAAACCCACACTTCGTCACAAGAACAATGTAAAATTTTGTGATTATTTTTTGCAAATATATGATTATTACACACATAACGTTTGTTTAAATTTTTGACATTTACCAAATCATTGTATTTTGGATATTTGTATTCTTCAATATTAAAAATTCTATCATTCGTCGTCAACATTTTTAAAAATTGTTTTTCTGTTGAACCAATTTTGTCTAATGTTTTTTGGAAATCAAACAAAATTTATGATTAATTTAAAATTTTATTTTCAAGTAATAACCACTTGTAAAAACCCACACTTCATCACAAGAACAATGTAAAATTTTGTGTTTATTTTTTGCAAATATATGATTATTATACACATAACGTTTGTTTAAATTTTTGACATTTACCAAATCATTGTATTTTGGATATTTGTATTCTTCAATATTAAAAATTCTATCATTCGTCGTCAACATTTTTAAAAATTGTTTTTCTGTTGAACCAATTTTGTCTAATGTTTTTTGGAAATCAAACAAAATTTATGATTAATTTAAAATTTTATTTTCAAGTAATAACCACTTGTAAAAAACCCACACTTCATCACAAGAACAATGTAAAATTTTGTGTTTATTTTTTGCAAATATATGATTATTACACACATAACGTTTGTTTAAATTTATAACATTTACCAAATCATTGTATTTTGGACATTTGTATTCTTCAATATTAAAAATTCTATCATTCGTCGTCAACATTTTTAAAAATTGTTTTTCTGTTGAACCACCTTTGTATGCGATCACTTCGTCTTTGCACAAATTTCTAATATACCAATTTAATATGGGAATAATGTTCTCTTGTTTGTAGGCACATTTTAATTTTATTTTCAATTAAAATTTTATTTTCAAACAATAACCACTTGTAAAAAACCCACACTTCATCACAAGAACAATGTAAAATTTTGTGTTTATTTTTTGCAAATATATGATTATTACACACATAACGTTTGTTTAAATTTATGACATTTACCAAATCATTGTATTTTGGACATTTGTATTCTTCAATATTAAAAATTCTATCATTCGTCGTCAACATTTTTAAAAATTGTTTTTCTGTTGAACCACCTTTGTATGCGATCACTTCGTCTTTGCACAAATTTCTAATATACCAATTTAATATGGGAATGATGTTCTCTTGTTTGTAGGCACATTTTAATTCTTCGGTCACATCAAAATATGGAATGCCGTGCACGTGTATTTCACAATAACGAACAGTTTTTTTGTCTTTTGGCGACAAATAATTGAAAGGATAACTTGGCTGAAACAAATAATGATCGATAAACGAATCATTTTTATTAGATAGTTTTACGTCTAGAATAGCCATTTCTCTACATTGAAAATGTTTATGAGGATATGTAATGTAAAATCCGTCCATGTCGATGATGTATCTAATATTTTTTAGATTTTGTGTCATTTTGAACCAAAATGTTAAAAGTATTTACACGTGACTAAAATATGTTTGTTCCAACAAACTTCACATAACAATTCATTCTTCATTACTTCCCATCACCCCATTTCTTCCTTCTGCTCTTTTCTTCCTGTAATTTAAGAAAACAGAATCACATTCACTAATGATCAACTAATGACTGTCATTGTTAAAAAAGTATTTTTTAACTTTTTACTTTCCGCTATTGTCTTTGTATTTATGGCTAGGAAATGTCCGCGGCGCGGTCTCAATGCGTGTTGGCGAACTTCACATGCCTTCGAAATTTTCTCAGACATGATTGCAATTAACAATTTAAGTGGTGTCGGCGGGGATCGAACCCGCGTTACGTACTGTAAAATTTACAGCTTGCGCTAACCATCTGAGCTACCACGGCTTAATCATATACACACACAATATTTAAATATAATTTGTTAACACTAAATCATACACACGTAAGAAAATAACAGAAAGAAAAGTAAGTGTGTCAATAGAATAAACACTTAAAATTGCAATTAACAATTTAATTGGTGTCGGCGGGGATCGAACCCGCGTTACGTACTGTAAAATTTACAGCTTGCGCTAACCATCTGAGCTACCACGGCTTAATCATATACACACACAATATTTAAATATAATTTGTTAACACTAAATCATACACACGTAAGAAAATAACAGAAAGAAAAGTAAGTGTGTCAATAGAATAAACACTTAAAATTGCAATTAACAATTTAATTGGTGTCGGCGGGGATCGAACCCGCGTTACGTACTGTAAAATTTACAGCTTGCGCTAACCATCTGAGCTACCACGGCTT